GTACCTTGGGGTTATGGTTATGGCAATGCTTACAGTACAGAAGCATTTGCCAATATGAAAAAACTGAGATTGCTTCAGCTCAGCTGCGTAGAGCTCAAAGGAGAATACAAACATCTTCCCAAAAAGTTAATATGGTTGTGTTGGATTGGATGCCCTTTAAAGTCCATACCAGATGACTTTTTTAATCAAGATAAACTAATTGTTTTAGAGATGCAGTATAGCAAACTGGTACAAGTTTGGGAGGGTTCCAAGGTACAATGAATTACACCTGATGATGTTTTGTTTATATTTGTTTTTTAGATTTCATTTTTTTATTTATTTTTTATTTTTTATAACATCTTCATGTCGGATATTAATTTCAATTTTCTTTTGATTTTCTGCAACAGTCGCTACATAACTTGAAAACCCTTGATCTCACCTATTCCGATTCCTTACAGAAATCACCGGACTTTTCACAAGTCCCAAATCTTGAAGAGTTGATATTGGTATGGTGTAAGAGTTTGTCCGAGATTCACCCCTCCATTGGTCATCTTGAAAGACTGACTTTGGTGAACCTTACAAGATGTTGCAAGCTTATTTCTCTTCCAAGGGATTTCTATAAGTCAAAATCTGTTGAGACTCTTCTTCTTAATGGATGTTCAAAATTCATAGAACTGCATGAGGATATAGGGCAGATGATATCACTGAGAACACTTGAAGCATATAAAACAGCCATAAGAGAAGTACCACCTTCCATAGTAAGAATGAAGAATCTCACTCGTTTATCCCTTGATAAGTACTGCATCAGCGTAGAGCTCAAAGGAGAATACAAATATATAGGTTGGGACCTATGCCCTTTAAAGTCCATACCAGATGACTTTTTTAATCAAGATAAACTAGTTGTTTTAGAGATGAACTATAGTAGACTGGTACAAGTTTGGGAGGGTTCCAAGGTACAATGAATTACACCTGATGATGTTCTGTTTCTATTTGTTTTTTGGATTTCTTCTCTCTTTTTTATTTTTATTTTTATAACAGCTTCATTTCGGATATTAATTTCAATTTTCTTTTGATTTTCTGCAACAGTCGTTTCGTAACCTGAAAACCCTTGATCTCAGCCATTCCTATTCCCTACAGAAATCACCGGACTTTTCACAAGTCCCAAATCTTGAAGAGTTGATATTGAAATGGTGTAAGAGTTTGTCCGAGATTCACCACTCCATTGGTCATCTTGAAAGACTTTCTTTGGTGAACCTTACAAGATGTTGCAAGCTTATTTCTCTTCCAAGGGATTTCTATAAGTCAAAATCTGTTGAGACTCTTCTTCTTAATGATTGTTATGAATTCAGAGAACTGCATGAGGATATAGGGGAGATGTTATCACTGAGAACACTTGAAGCAGAGAAAACAGCCATAAGAGAAGTACCACCTTCCATAGTAGGATTGAAGAATCTCACTCGTTTATCCCTTGACCGCATCAGCGTAGAGCTCAATGGAGAATACAAATATCTTCCCAAAGAGCTAATAACGTTGTGGTGGGAAGGATGCCCTTTAAAGTCCATACCAGATGACTTTTTTAATCAAGATAAACTAGTTGTTTTAGGGATGCAGTTTAGCGAACTGGTACAAGTTTGGAAGGGTTCCAAGGTACAATGAATACACCTGATGATGTTATGTTTCTGTTTGTTTTTTGGATTTCCTTTTATTTTTTATTAATGACATCTTCATTTCGGATATTAATTTCAATTTTCTTTTGATTTTCTGCAACAGTCGCTACATAACTTGAAAACCCTTGATCTCACCTATTCCCGTTCCTTAGAGAAATCACCGGACTTTTCACAAGTCCCAAATCTTGAAGAGTTGATATTGGAAGAGTGTATTAGTCTGTCCGAGATTCACCCCTCCATTGGTCATCTTAAAAGACTTTCTTTGGTGAACCTTAGTCGATGTAATGAGCTTATTTCTCTTCCAAAGGATTTCTATAAATTGAAATCTGTTGAGACTCTTCTTCTTAATGGATGTTCAAAATTCATAGAACTGCATGAGGATATAGGGCAGATGATATCACTGAGAACACTTGCAGCATATAAAACAGTCATAAGAGAAGTACCACCTTCCATAGTAAGATTGAAGAATCTCACTTGTTTGTCCCTATCAGGTGTGGGAAGTATTCATTTGCCACATTCGTTACACGGCTTAAACTCTTTAAGGGAATTAGACATCTCATGTTGCGGATTAGCCGATAATGAAATCCCTGGGGATCTTGGGAGTCTAATTTCTTTACAAGTTTTGGATCTTTCACGGAATAATTTTCACATCCTACCCAACCTCAGTGGCGTAGAGCTCAATGGAGTATACAAACATCTTCCTAAAGAGTTAATATGGTTGCATTGGGAAGAATTCCCTTTAAAGTCCATACCAGATGACATTTTTAATCAAGATAAACTAGTTGTTTTAGACATGCAGGGTAGCAAACTGGTACAAGCTAGGGATGGTTCCAAGGTACAATGAATTACACATGATGATGTTCTGTTTCTATATGTTTTTTGGATTTCTTCTCTTTTATTTTATTTTTTATAACATCTTCATTTCGGATATTAATTTCAATTTTCTTTTGATTTTCTGCAACAGTCACTATATAACTTGAAAACCCTTGATCTCAGCTGTTCCGATTCCTTACAGAAATCACCGGACTTTTCACAAATCCCAAATCTTGAAGAGTTGATATTGGAAGGGTGTTCTAGTTTGTCCGAGATTCACCCCTCCATTGGTCATCTTAAAAAACTTTCTTTGGTGAACCTTACCCAATGTTGGGAACTTATTTCTCTTCCAAGGGATTTCTATAAATTGAAATCTGTTAAGACTCTTCTTCTTAATGGATGTTCAAAATTCATAGAACTGCATGAGGATATAGGGGAGATGATATCACTGAGAACACTTGAAGCAGAGCGAACATCCATAAGAGAAGTACCACCTTCCATAGTAAGATTGAAGAATCTCACTGGTTTATCCCTTGATAAGTACCGCATCAGTGTAAAGCTCAAAGGAGAATACAAATATCTGTGTTGGGACCTATGCCCTTTAAAGTCCATACCAGATGACTTTTTTAATCAAGATAAACTAGTTGTTTTACAGATGCAGTATAGCAAACTGGTACAAGTTTGGGAGGGTTCCAAGGTACAATGAATTACACGTGATGATGTTCTGTTTCTCTTTCTTTTTTTTATAACAGCTTCATTTCGGATATTAATTTCAATTTTCTTTTGATTTTCTGCAACAGTCACTATATAACTTGAAAACCCTGGATCTCAGCTGTTCCGATTCCTTACAGAAATCACCGGACTTTTCACAAGTCCCAAATCTTGAAGAGTTGATATTGGAAGGGTGTTCTAGTTTGTCCGAGATTCACCCCTCCATTGGTCATCTTAAAAAACTTTCTTTGGTGAACCTTACCCAATGTTGGGAACTTATTTCTCTTCCAAGGGATTTCTATAAATTGAAATCTGTTGAGACTCTTCTTCTTAATGGATGTTCAAAATTCATAGAACTGCATGAGGATATAGGGGAGATGATATCACTGAGAACACTTGAAGCAGAGCGAACATCCATAAGAGAAGTACCACCTTCCATAGTAAGATTGAAGAATCTCACTGGTTTATCCCTTGATAAGTACGGCATCAGTGTAAAGCTCAAAGGAGAATACAAATATCTGTGTTGGGACCTATGCCCTTTAAAGTCCATACCAGATGACTTTTTTAATCAAGATAAACTAGTTGTTTTACAGATGCAGTATAGCAAACTGGTACAAGTTTGGGAGGGTTCCAAGGTACAATGAATTACACGTGATGATGTTCTGTTTCTATTTGTTTTTTGGATTTCTTCTCTTTCTTTTTTTTATAACATCTTCATTTCGGATATTAATTTTAATTTATTTTGATTTTCTGCAACAGTCGCTTCGTTACTTGAAAACCCTTGATCTCAGCTATTCCTGGTCCTTACAGAAATCACCGGACTTTTCACAAGTCCCAAATCTTGAAGAGTTGATATTGGAAGATTGTTATAGTTTGTCTGAGATTCACCCCTCCATTGGTCATCTTAAAGGACTTTCTTTGGTGAACCTTAGAGACTGTCGTAAGCTTATTTCTCTTCCAAGGGATTTCTATAAGTTGAAATCTGTTGAGACTCTTCTTCTTAATGGATGTTGGAAATTCAGAGAATTGCATGAGGATATAGGGGATATGATATCACTGAGAACACTTGAAGCAGAGCAAACAGCCATAAGAGAAGTACCGCCTTCCATAGTAGGATTGAAGAATCTCACTCGTTTATCCCTTGACCGCATCAGCTGCATAGAGCTTAATGAAGAATACAAACATCTTCCCAAAGAGTTAATATGGTTGCGTTGGTTTGGATGCCCTTTAAAGTCCATACCAGATGACTTTTTTAATCAAGATAAACTAGTTGTTTTACAGATGCAGTATAGCAAACTGGTACAAGTTTGGGAGGGTTCCAAGGTACAATGAATTACACCTGATGATGTTCTGTTTCTATTTGTTTTTTTTTGGATTTCTTCTCTTTTTTTATAACATCTTCATTTCGGATATTAATTTCAATTTTCTTTTGATTTTCTGCAACAGTCGCTACATAACTTGAGAACCCTTGATCTCAGCTATTCCTGTTCCTTACAAAAATCACCGGACTTTTCACAAGTCCCAAATCTTGAAGAGTTGATATTGGTATGGTGTAAGAGTTTGTCCGGGATTCACCCCTCCATTGGTCATCTTAAAAGACTTTCTTTGGTGAACCTTAGAGACTGTCGTAATCTTATTTCTCTTCCAAGGGATTTCTACAAGTCGAAATCTGTTGAGACTCTTCTTCTTAATGGATGTTGGAAATTCAGAGAACTGCATGAGGATATAGGGGAGATGATATCACTAAGAACACTTGAAGCAGAGCAAACAGCCATAAGAGAAGTACCACCTTCCATAGTAGGATTGAAGAAGTTTTTCCCTTGACCGCATCAGCTGCGTAGAGCTTAATGAAGAATACAAACATCTTCCCAAAGAGTTAATACGGTTGTGTTGGTTTGGATGCCCTTTAAATTCCATACCAGATGACTTTTTTAATCAAGATAAACTAGTTCTTTTAGAGATGCAGCAAAGCGAACTGGTACAAGTTTGGGTGGGTTCCAAGGTACAATGAATTTCACCTGATGATGTTCTGTTTCTATTTGTTTTTTGGATTTCTTCTCTTTTTTAATTGTTTTATTTTTATAACATCTTCATTTCGGATATTAATTTCAATTTTCTTTTGATTTTCTGCAACAGTCGCTACATAACTTGAAAACCCTTGATCTCAGCCATTCCTACTCCTTACAGAAATCACCGGACTTTTCACAAGTCCCAAATCTTGAAGAGTTGATATTGGTATGGTGTAAGAGTTTGTCCGAGATTCACCCCTCCATTGGTCATCTTAAAAGACTTTCTTTGGTGAACCTTAAGTGGTGTTTCAAACTTATTTCTCTTCCAAGGGATTTCTATAAATTGAAATCTGTTGAAGCAGAGTGTACATCCATAAGAGAAGTACCACCTTCCATAGTAAAATTGAAGAATCTCACTCGTTTATCCCTATTAGCTGTGAAAAGTATTCATTTGCCACATTCGTTACACGGCTTAAACACTTTTAAGGGAATTAAATCTCTCATGGTGTGCAAATTAGCTGATGATGCAATCCCTAAGGATCTTGGGAGTCTAATTTCTTTACAAGATTTGAATCTTCAAGGGAATGATTTTCATACCCTACCCAGTCTCAGTGGTCTTTCAAAGCTTGAAACTCTGCGGTTAGATGGATGCTTTAACCTTCGTACAATCCATGATATACCACCAAATGTGAAAGTTCAGCATGAGTAATATCCTGAGGTCGATGTGTGCAATGTTATGTAGGCAGAGAAGATTGGGAGGAGCTACTATATGAAGACTATCTTTTCAAGCTTTTACTTTGGAGTTGGAGGTTCCTTGGGGCTCTTGAAGCAGATTCTACAGCCATAAGACAAGTAGCACCTTCCATAGTAGCATTGAAGAATCTCACTTTTATCTCTGAGTACTGTGCCTAGTCATTTGCCCAAATTACCTGATGATGCAATCCCTAAGGATCTTGGAGGGAATGATGTTCATACCCTACCCAGCCTCAGTGGCCTTTCAAAGCTTGGAGGGAATGGATGCATATATCTTCATACAATCCGTGATTTACCAAGAAGTTTGAAATTTCTGTATGCCATTGCCCAATTTTTCGGAAATGTCAAATATGAGAGAACTGGAAGCAAGTGATTCTCTCAAACTCACTTGAGGCTCCACGCTTGGATAAGTTATTAAACCCCATGACATGGACTGATATGAAAAGGTTTACCAATCTCACAGCTGATTTTGGCAAGAACATCATATAGGTATCTCTCTCCCCCCTCCCCCTCTCTCCCCAAAGTTCTAATTGCCTTCCTATTGTGCACATGCAGATTCCTATGGCTTTTCCAAAACGTAGTTGTTTTGAATTTTGAAGATATATTGCATTCAGAAACATTTCAATACTACAAGAACCGATATAAAATGCATCCAATGATCCGAGAAATAGCACTCGAATTCGCAGAAATACAAATGCACCAACGTTTTCTTGTCAAATGCACGTTCTCATTTTATGAGTGTAACCATACTTAATATTCAACACTGGACATTACATAATCAAGTTCTTGTAATTCAAAAAGGCCATACCTCCACTCACCCTGAGATACAAAGGCATCTGTTTCTTCTACCTTAGGGTTTTCGTCTGCAAGACCAGCTATGATTGGGGAAGCGTCACTTTTATAGTCCATAATAATTCTCTTCTCACTTTCTTCACTCACAACATTTTTGGTCTGCATAAAGAACATTACTACATTTAGCTTCCTAAAGTTATATTTGTAAGGTGAAAAAAAAAGCAGAAATTTTCTAAAATGATTTTGAGGCAAGGAAGACTTGCAACTGATTTAGTTACTTTAGGATCTTTGGCTGGATATTCCTTCTTTAAGTGATTTCTTTTCCGCTCGGTTGAGTTACATGCTACATTTCTGAGATGAGCGTTTCGAGATTGTGATTGTTGCTGTAATTGGTTGCCGAGATATTGACTTGAAACAGTCTTCTCACCTTCCTCAAACTGTTTCTTCAGAGCGGCCTGCAAAGGTCTTGACGGGTACTCTTCGATTCCCATGAGCTTGGCAATCAGACTTGGCCCTTTTCCCGCCTTTTGTGAAGCAGCTGTTGTTGCTGCAATGGTGGAGTCACTGGTGGTATGAAACACAGAACTTTGGGTTGAGCTGGTGGAGGGAGTATCCAAGAACAAATCCATATATCGAAAATAGTTTACCCTTTTCGACAGATTCTGTATTTTCCACAAGTTTCTGCCTCACAAGGCTGTCTCTGATCACCTCCTTAAGCTCTTGATTTCCATTCCTTGAAAACCATCAGCAGAACGCCTTGGTTTTTCAAATTCCGTCACAGAATTGTGTTTTTTTTGTTTAAGTGAGCCGTACTCTGAAGCTTCCTGTGCAACTTGCTAAGAATGACTAGAGAACCCTCCAGATCAAGAGCTCCTTCCAAGTAGTCTTTCACAATGTCCTTCGACTGCTGCCCTTCGAACCTCATCTCTTTCGACCAGGAATCAATTGTGCGGTTTAGCTTCTGAGATTCTCTGGACACTTTGACAAATTTTTGGAATTCCGCAATATCTTTCTCTGGTGAGTTCCTAATAACCGAAGTCACCTTTTGGATCTTATCAACCTTGTCAATTGCCTCCTTTCTATGTGGTTTGAGATCTTATCAGCTTTTGGATTTCCTGCTTATGTGTGAGGCACAGGTTGACTTGTAGTGATTCCAAATTTCGTCAACTTCACTGTGAGGCACAGGTTGACTTGGAGTGATTCCAGATTTCCAATGCACCTTTGGTGTGATGCCAAAAGTCAGAGTGATTCCAGATCTCTCTTTTGTTCCCATCTCTTCTTATTGTTACATACTCAGATACTCTAGATAAGATATATGGTCACTCGTGCAATCAAAAACCTTTTTCTAAGAATAAGACAATTAAGCATCCAAGTTGAAGAAAATCAAACCCTAGCTTCACTGAAGTCGGATAGAAACTGTCCTTACTGAAGTTGGATTATCGCACCAAAATTTGTGTCTAGCTAGGGTGAGATGAAGAGAGAAAATGGACTACATACTGGCTCAGCAACGTCAAACCCCAAGACCAATGACTAATGCAAGTTAGAATATACCAATCCAATAATGGGGTTTAAGGAATGCATTTCAGAATACGACGTAACAAAAACGTTGATTCCAAGTTGAGCATATATTGGAGAGAAGAAGCTATCCAAAAAGTGAATAACCACCACGTAATATAGAAAGTGATCGCTACTGGAAATAGGATCACACTGCAAAAGAACAAAGAGTGAGCAGCTAATATTTATATATATATGAACCAAGAGCGAACAATAAAATTTTGGATTAATCAATCGTACAAGAAAAGCATATATGTAATGTCTATTATACCTTAAACAAAATTCATGTGTAATTGGGGTTGCACAAGGAAAGCTCAAATAGCCAACAATAGTACTTGCATATATTCGCCGTAGGTGATTTTGCGTAATGAACAATAATACATGTAAACATATGCAAATGATCGGTTTCTTACACATGAATATAACCTTTTGTTAACAGGGAACTGAAGAAGTTGAAGGACTTGCTCTACATTTGCCTTATGGTTATGGCACTGCTAGTTTCAGCACAGAAGCATTTGCCAATATGAAAAAACTGAGATTGCTTCAGCTCGACAGAGTAGAGCTCAATGGAGAATACAAACATCTTCCCAAAGAGTTAATATGGTTGTGTTGGTGTGGATGCCCTTTGCAGTCCATACTAGATGACTTTTTTAATCAAGATAAACTAGTTGTTTTCGACATGCGGTGGAGCAATCTGGTACAAGTTTGGGAGGGTTCCAAGGTACAATGAATTACACCTGATGATGTTCTGTTTCTGTTAGTTTTTTGGATTTCTTCTCTTTTTTATTTTTTTATTTCTTTATTTTTATTTTTTATAACATCTTCATTTTGGATATTAATTTCAATTTTTTTTTATTTTCTGCAACAGTCGCTTCATAACTTGAAAACCCTTGATCTCAGCTATTCCCATTCCTTACAAAAATCACCAGACTTTTCACAAGTCCCAAATCTTGAAGAGTTGATATTGAATTACTGTCAGAAGTTGTCCGAGATTCACCCCTCCATTGATCATCTTAAAAGACTTTCTTTGGTGAAACTTAAGTGGTGTGTCAAACTCATTTCTCTTCCAGGGGATTTCTACAAGCCGAAATCTGTTGAGACTCTTCTTAATAGATGTTCAGAATTCAGAGAAGTGCATGAGGATATAGGGGAGATGATATCATTGAGAACACTTGAAGCAGAGGACACAACCATAAGAAAAGTACCACCTTCCATAGTGAGATTGAAGAATCTCACTCGTTTATCCCTAGCAGGTGTGAAATTAGCTGATGATGCAATCCCTAAGGATCTTGGGAGTCTAATTTCTTTACAAGTTTTGCATCTTTAAGGGAATAAACTTCATTCCCCACCCAACCTCAGTGGTCTTTCAAAGCTTGTAACATTGAGGTTAAGTGGATGCAGATCTCTTCGTACAATCCCTGATTTACCAACAACTTTGAAATTTCTGTATGTTTTTCAATGCCTTGCATTGGAACAATGCCCAATTTTTCGAAAATGTTGAATATGAAAGAACTGGTTGTGAGTGATTCACCCAAACTCACTGAGGTTCCAGGCTTGGATAAGTCATTAAGCTCCATGACATTGATTAATATGAGAAAGTGCACCAATCTCTCAGCTCATTTAAGGAAGAACGTCCTACGTGTATCTCTCTCTCTCTCTCTCTCTCTCTCTCTCTCTCTCTCTCTCTCATTGCCTTCCTATTGTGCATATACATGTATATATATATATATGACACTTGTAATATGTATGTAGGGATGGACTTCTTGCGGATTTGATGGAATTTTCCTTCATGGAAACTACGTTCCTGATTGGTTTGAGTTCGTCAATGAGGGCACTAAAGTCACTTTTAATATTCCCCCAAGTGATGGTCATAATTTTGAAGGGTTAACTTTATTTTGCTTACGCCGCTCATACGTAAGCAGTCATCTTGCCATTATTGTTATAAATAATATCCAGCGTACTGAGTTGCAAGCTTACATAGGCAGAGAAGCATCTGATTACCACCCAAATGGAGATGATTATCTTTTGCAGGGACAACTCTCGAACAGTAAGCTCAATTTGCAAGGTGGGGATAAAGTTGATATACTTTTTGAAAACCCAGCCATTTCAATAACGAGAACAGGGGTTAATCTAGTATGGGACAAACCTATGAAGGAAAATATGTATGATTTGGACAAAGCTGGATATGTTTTTGACACACATCCAACTCGGTTTTATGATGAGGGAGGACCAAGCCATGAAGCATCTGATAATAATCGTCCCAGGAAACAAATGAGAATTACCATAGATGACTGAAATGGGAAAAGGCAAGAAGAAATGAAGCATCATCTGTCTAGATTATGTCAAACCCAGATCGATTCTATGGTGAAGCACGATCAAGGCGGTGATGCATCGTCATCATCACATATCTGAGTAAGGTCATAACCAGTTCATCAAACGCCTCTTTCATTTTTCGCTTTACTGGTTCGATAATGAAGACAAGTCCTTATTTCATACTTCTTTAGATTCCTACGATTTTTTCAATAAGTAGTTGTTCTGAATTTTGAAGAAATATTGCATCTAAAAAACATTTTAACAATACAACAATCAATATAGACATTCATCCAAATATTTGACAAATACTACTTGAATGCGCACAAATACTTGCCCTGCTTCCACCACATATTCCAGAAAATCAATGACAGCCTCAAGATGCCAGTCAATTTATAGTTTCTACTACGTTTTCATTAATCTGGACTTGCCCTGACATGTTAGCAGAAAATTGACTCTACATTTTAGTAGAAGATCTATTACCTTTCTACTACCTTTGAAGTTGATGAACTCGTTTGCACGATCAAAAAATAGTCTTGTTGGATTCTCCAAAACTGCAGACGGAAGTTGTTTGTAACATCGTAGAGCTGTTTCTGTTAAGATCAAACCCCAGCCCATGTTGTGCCCTTCTGTAAACACCATCAAATTAAGATGTCACAAAGTTTTGAAAAAAAACATGAAATCATCAAATATAGCTTTGATATCTTTGTAGGATTTCAATTGAAAAAAAAAAAAAAAAAAAAGAGACAGATCTTTGTTGGGGTAACAAACTCTATCTGGCTTACAAAGAGAATATCTATAATTACAACAAAATGAGAAAAAACTCTTGTTCAGCAAATCAGTGCAAATGTAGCTAAACCACCAAAATTCAAAATGAAGCTACGGTTTCACCATCACCATATTCATCTCAAGTACAAAATTTACCTAATAGAGTAAAGCATGATGAGAATAAAAGAAATGACAAAAGTCAAGTAATCCTCCTCTTTCCCCCAAACTGTCTGCCTCTTGAATGCATGTCATCCCGGTTTTGATGACTCATTTTTTTAAGAAGCTTTTGTGCGGCTGCTTGGTTTTGAACAGGGACAGCTTCAATTTTTGTGGAAGCCATAATACATCAGCATTAAATTACAAAGTAAAAAATGTAGAACATTTATAATATATAAGTTAACTAAATGTGTTTCTTGTATGATTCAAGTATAATTCCATTTTACATGATTGTCGATGTTGATACAGACAAAACTTAGCAGAAATTTGGTTTTCCCTCCATTCAAATGATTCAAGTTTGATTCTGCCACCTTACACCTGCCCCATCTACAACTATATACGCACCACTGGAAATAATTAGTGAACAAATCGAAGTGTAAAAACACCAGTCTCTTCTCGACCCCTTCCCCACAACTAGATGACATAAAATTAAGCTTAATACTACACAAAACCCGGATGCCGCATAGGATAATAGTAAAATTTAATAACAAGCTACAAGTTGGACACAAATGAAAATCCACCTTCTTTTGTCTTGGGTTCTTCATCAAGAGAATCTGCCTTACGAGTGTTATCTGTCTCACTTTTTTTTTAAATTAAGCTTAAAACTACACAAAACCCGGATGCAGCATAGGATAATAGTAAAATTTAATAAAAAGCTACAATTTGGACACGAATGAAAATCCACCTTCTTTTATCTTGAGTTCTTTCATCAAAGGAATCTGCCTTACGAGTGTTACCTGTCTCACTTTTTTTATAAAATTTATCCTCATCATTTGCTTTCAATTGAAGATTCCACTGTCTTCCAACTGGTCTACCCTCAGTAATTCTGGCAATAGGCTCACTACTCTTGGAGCTAACATCAGAGTAATCTGCCAATGATTGCATCTTGCCCATGAGATATGCATGCAATAGCAATAATGAGTGGTTTAACATTATGTTAAAAGACATAAACTAATATTATGAAATCAATAGCTCAAGAATACTGACGTGAAAACTTGTCCTGCTCAGGAAACCGACTTTTAGCTGCCCCAACTTGCAACTTCTCAAATGGAGAGGGGCCGTTACCATCACTTTCCTGTGAAATCCTTAAAGATGAACGTGAAAACTCGGAATATTTTGTATTCATCTGCCATTCTTCGTAAAGTGATTGAACAACACCTCCCAACACAGTCACAACTTTAGGACTCAAACAAACTATTCCGTTACGTACAGTAACTTTACCTTCCAAACAGACCTCCCGATCAAAAAGTAGGACAAACAAAAGATGTTCAGTTAACTCAAAATGCGACCTTTATCTATGCACCTGTTTTCCCTGAATCACTTAAGAAAGTGGGACTAGAGAGACCCATAAAACTTCTTGTGAAATTCATTTTGAGTTTCATGAAAAAAGTACTCATAATAATTGTCAAAATTAAAAACTTTGTCGGGGTCTTCCAGTGCAGTGTTGAGCTAATGTCCCATATGGGATACAAAATAAACGAAATTATTAATTTTCCTACTGGATGTGGATTCACTTCAAGATTGCATAAACGAAGACGGAGCACACAGTGTTCATCACTAAGTTCTACGAAAGTGTGAGTTTCCGTTGTTTTCCATAATCTAGCTCAATTTCGTACCAGTTTGAATACTAAACTGAACATATACAAAATCCAAAAAGTGACAATCAAATAAATCTCTAGCTTATTCAATATAAAACACCAGATGAGTATTGAGCAGGCATCAAGAAGCAGAAAGTACCTTAGTTTCAGGAACGACGTGGTCAGGGATTGCCGGGGTATGAGAGTACTCCACAGCTGTGGCCGTCGTCAGGGATCGTCAGGCATCAAAAGCCGCCGACGACTCAAATTCCTCGAAAAATCCTCCATACTGCTTTTAGCAACGTCCCTTACCCAAGCCATTTGATAACAAAACACAAAGGAAAGCCACATTTTTCTTTCTCTTTATCTATTTTGTGATTTACCTGGAGGACTTTGGGGCCGAGGAGGTGAGAGGACCTTAGGAGCGTATGCGGGTCGGGCATGGGCGGAGATGGATTTAAGGTTCATGTTGGTGAGCTCGGCTTCCACTGAGTTCACCACCGTACGCGTGTCGTAGGACAAGGCGGGGTGGATCAGGATCTTCTCCTCCACTTGTTCGAAGTCGCCGAAGCACCATCCTCTGGTTCTTAGGGTTTCGATTGCGGCGTCGGAAGCGGCGCCGGAACTCCCCTCCATATTTTTTGTTCCAGTTTGCCGCGTAGTTTGATTTTGGGGGTTTTCTGAATTTTGCAACAGAAAACGTCAAATGTACGGTACAGTCCCAGACTCCCCAATAGGTCATGAAACGGCGTCGTAGTTGGGTTTTTTTAAATTTTTTTAGGGTGTATTGGTTCCTCCTTTTGTGAGAATGAGGGCCAGTGCACCAAAATTAACGTCTATTGGTAGTTTTTTTCATTTATAAATGAAAGGTTTTGTCATTTAGGGGAGTGTATTCAATTGAGAATGTGAGAGATTTTAATGGATTTATAAATCCATGGATTTTTATGGAGTTTAATTGATTTGTAGAGATTCCATATAAAATTTTGATTCAATTCCCTCGAAATCTCATGGAAAGAGGTGAGATTTATGGATACTTAAAATACACTACGAAATCTCTCCAATTCCCTCTAATTCCTCAACTTTCTCAAATTCTTTAAAATCAATTTCTAATTGAATACACCTGGAATGTTATAAACTTCTTTAAAATCTTAATTGAATACACCTGGATTTCTAAGGATTTTAATAAACTATTTTAAAATTCTAATTGAATACACCTAGAATTTCAGAGAATCACTTAAAATCCTGATTGAATACCCCTAGATTCATTAAAAGAATTAAAATCCCTTAAAATCCCAATTGAATACACCCTCCTTAGTATTATGATCTAGTGATATTTCTCTGTACTGATAAGTGAGGTTTTAGGTTCAATTTTCGCCAAAGGCGAATTTGAACCACATTATTTTTAGCTCAGTATGAGGCTAACCCCACCCCCAACCCCCCAACCCCCAACCCCACCCCCAACCCCCAACCCCCACCCCCATCCCCCACCAGTTTGTGTAGAAAATATCAATTGTTTAAAAAAATGAGAAGTTTTAAGTTTGAATTTCATAAATGGCATGTTCAATACAAATTTGTAAACAAATAATTGCTTACAAAATAATGAACTTTGTTAAACAAAAATAATTGCTTACGGTAGAGAGAATAACTATAAACATTATTGAAGTATGTATTTAAATATTTTTAGTTTATATAAATCGATAGGTTGCTATTGCATTATGTGTCTAAATCAAATCACTAACTTGAACCATGCTCTGTATTTGGAAACTCTTCGTTTTTCTTATTTGAATTAGTAGGGTTTGTATTTTTGTTTTCCAAATTTGATTTTTGTGATTTCATTTTGAAAGATATTTCAGAATTTCATAAAGCAGATGTGATTTGATCAATTAAAGCCAACCTGAATTACAGAGGTCTGATTACGGATACACTGCAAATTACCTCACTTTTCTAGCAAGAGTCTGCTGCTTTTTCCAAAAGGAAAAGATTAGCTTGGTTTGATCTCGTATTTGAATTGTACAGATTTGGTTTGATCTCTTAATTTTTGCTGTGCAAATTTTGTTTTAATTAATTTGGGTTGGGCCGAGGAAGCAAATAATTTTTTAAATTAATAAATTTAGTTTGGTTTATACATGTGCTGCTGAATATTATTTACCGAAGCATGAACATCTCAAGAAACTGTTTGTTACAAAGTATTTATTACAACTTTGCACCAACTGTTTTTGTTATGTCTTATAGTTTTAAAACTTACGGTATCACGCGGGCCCTTTTGCTATTAATTTAAAAGGATGGTCTCTATAACATTTTGATTTTCTTTTTGCAATTGTATATGAACCAGCACTGGAGAGTTTTTCAACGTGTTCGAAGCACATCATGAAACGTCATATGTTATCATACAAGTGTCATAATACAATTGGTTTGACACTTAAAAAAAACAATTTCATCCACTTATTTGATAGTTAGTATATCAAACCGTACTTTTGGCATACTAAAAAACTTCTCATAAAAGTGGGTACATTATGAGTATTATAAACAAGTGGTGCTAATTAATATTTATTCTGGAAGGATTAAACCCCAATTAATATTTATTCTGGAAGTATTATAAACAAGTGGTGCTAATTCTTCCCTGCATCCTCCCTCCCACCCAGCAGTATGTTGTTAATAATCGCTTCCTAATGTGAACGACTCTTCACTCACCAGTATACGAAGAGAAGTAATTCCTTCATGCAATATTGTCCGTTAAGATTAAGAGAAATGTGAAGAATTAGATTTTTTTAAATCATTAAAAATAAAATTCAACCATCAACGATTATTTCATTTGATTTATTAAATTATATAAACTAAAACTCAGTTTTCTCACCACAGTTTATTAACAATGAAGGGGAGAAAACTGCCCTTGGTTTCTTCTTTGTTGACCTCAATGTTTCAGTTTCTCTACAGTGGAAAGTCATTTTTGCCCATGTTGGCCTCGCGTTTTTCATTATTCATCTCTGTACTTCGACCGTGCCTTCTTGTTCGCTTTACCTTTTGCTTCATCTGTGCTTTTCATGTCTTCCTTTCGCCCTCTGTTTTTCTTGAATCCTCTATTGCTCTCGAATCTTTCGTTCCTTATTTCATAAAATATTCACCAAACAGAACCTGATTTTCGTTTTTAAGGGATTTTGTTTGCGCTCTCCGTTTTGAGGGAAGTTGTGTTCCTCTGTAAAGCTAGCTGTAGAACTAGGGTTCTGGGAGTTTTGTGGAAAGTCATAAAATTCGTTTCTAGGGTTCTTAAACTTGCAATTGGCGGGCCAAAACTTCATAGTATTTGTTTCTTTTGCCGTTTGGGATTCCGGAGTTGTCGCTGGATTTCTGGCGAATCTGTAGCGCGGTTTGGGAGCGGGCTGTCTTCAGATCATTGTGAAACAAATTTTATGGAATTCAGGTACATTTTATAATAGCTGTATTTAAGTTTTTATTTTGGATTTGTGGTGAGTTGCAGTGCTTTGTCAAGGCTTTCGTGTTTAAAAGGGCATTTTGTGTTTTGCTACCCCAGTTCATAAATCTCAGATTTGGCAGCAATTGGAACACCACTGTTATTTTTTGGGTATGTTATATGTCCTTCCATTTTTTTATTTATACTGTTAGTGTAGGAACCCATCTGTTGGGTGAAGTGGTAGGTCTAAAAATGGATATCATCCAGTGGAAGAACCCATATGTGGTGTTTATTTTTAGACAAGATGGGAAGATGTAAACAGTTGGAGGTCCATACCATTTTCCAAGTTCTTTGTTAATGTGAATGTTTATGTTATTCTGATTCGATTTGTAAACAAATAATTGCTTTCAAAATAATGAACTCTATTAAACAAAAAGAATTGCTTACAGTAGAAAATAACTATAAATATTATTGTAAAGTGTATATTTAAATATTTTTAATTTATATAAATCGATAGGTTACAATTGTATTCTGTGCCTAAATCAAATCACTAACTTGAACCATGCTCTTTATTTGGGAACTGTGCGTTTTTCTTATTTGAATTAGTAGGGCTTGTATGTTTGTTTTTCAAATTTGATTTTGTGTGATTTCATTTTAATAGATATTCAGAATTTCAGAGGTTTGATCAATTAAGGCCAACCTGATTGATAGAGGTCCGATTACAGGTACACTACAAATCACCTCACCTTTCTACCAGGAGTCTGCTGCTTTTTCCGAAAGGAAAAGTGTAGCTTGGTTTGATCTCTTATTTGGATTGTGTATATTTGGTTTGATCTCTTAATTTGTGTTGTGCAAATTTTGTTTGAATTAATTTTTGTTGGGCAGAGGGAGCAAATAATTTTTTAAATTAATAAATTTAGTTTGAGTTGTACATATGCTGTTGAATATTATTTACGAGGCATGATCATGTCAAGAAACTGTTCGTTACAAATTATTCATTACAACTTTGCACCACCTGTTTTGTTATGTCTAATAGTTTTAAAACCCGCAGCATCGCGTAGGTCTTTTTACTAGTAGTCTAAAAAGATAGTCTTTCTAACATTTTTATTTTCTTTTTGCAACTGTATATGAACCAATAATGGAAAGTTTTCAATGTGTTCGAAGCACGGCATGAAACGTCATATGTTATTATACAAATATCATAATACAATTAGTTTGACACTTGAAAAAACAATTTCAACCACTTATGTTAATACTTAGTGTATCAGATTGTGTTTTTGGCACATTGAAAAATTTCTCATAAAAATGGGCATATTAAGAGTATTATAAGCAAGTGGTGCTAATTAATAAGTTATTCTGGAGGGTTTAAACCCCAATTAATAAGAAAATTCAGAAGAAAGAAAGTAGCCACTTGCTAGCAAAAGGCAAGGAGAAAGCAAAAAGGTGGGATATTGGATTGGGATGCGAGTGGAGGACACGTAGGTGTTCTTGTTTATATCTAGATATTATCTTGAGTGCCTTGGCATTGCTCCATCCATCTTTTCCTTGCCCTGCCAGTCATGTGCCAAAACCAAGGAAGAAAATATTGGTAATATCGGAAATATCGGTAGTCCGAAAACACGGAAATATCGATGGAAATATCGGAATAATATCGATATCGATAAAAATTACATGGAAACCATCGAAATTGTAAGAAAAACTTGGAAATTTTTAATGAAACTTTGTAGGATGTTTATTTAGTCAATTATCTATTAGTTTATCACAAAAAATTGGAAGGAAATGCATTGCATGATGGATTTAACTGATTTAAGTTGATTATATAGCGAGCTGGCAAACATTGTGAGTGTAGAAAATATGTAGTAATTAATGAAAGAAGTTTAAACACACCATAATCATTTATATATAATTAATTAGTACAATATTTGGAGGTTTTATTTAGGATATTAAAAAAAAAAAAAAAAAGGAAGTGAATAAAATGATGAAGAATAATGTGCCGAATTTGACACTTTAAATTTCTTACACATAAGCATGCGTCTAGGCGTTGAAGTTCCAAATTATAGTATATCAATTAACGATTGAAAATCAATACATTGAATAAGACTAAACTTTAATTTGGATGCCGATTATGTTTTTTCAAGTTTATATAAAGTAAAAGAATTGAATTTTGGAAGCCAGGAGTGTGTCAATTGAAATTTTGGCCGGCGTGCAAGGTATCAATCTCTCTTCGTCTCGTCGAGTAGTACAACTTTCCTTTTTGTTTCACTCAATTTCGTTGAGTATTGAAAAAGTTATACTCATTTGAATCTTACCCAGTTTCCGGCGACCTCAGTGGATTTAGAGGCAATTTCCGGCCAAACCACAACGAGTCAGACGTCGTGTGAGGTACCATTCTCTTCGTCTCTTCGAGGGCACCAACTTTCCTTTTTGTTTCACTCAATTTCGTTGCTTATTGAAAAAGTTATACTCATTTGAATCTTACCCAGTTTCCGGCGACCTCAGTGGCTTTCGAGACAATTTCCGGCCAAACCACGGCGAGTTGGCCGGCGTTCAAGGTATCAATATCTTCGTCTCGTCGAGTAGTACAACTTTCCTTTTTGTTTCACTCAATTTCGTTGAGTATTGAAAAAGTTATACTCATTTGAATCTTACCCAGTTTCCGGCGACCTCAGTGACTTTCGAGGAATTTTCCGGCCAAACCACGACGATTCAGACGTCGTGTGAGGTACCATTCTCTTTGTCTCTTTGAGGGCTACAACTTTCGTTTTTGTCTTGCTTGATTTCGTTGAGTTTTGACAAAGTTATGGCTGTTTAAAGTGGGTGTAAATTTTCGACCGAAAATTCTGATTTTCTCTCCCATTGGGCGAGTCCCACATCGCCCATGTGAGGGCAGTGAGCAAGCAAATTTTCCTATAAAACCCACATCCCCCCTGCTGAGAAAATCCAAGCTTGTTCGGCCTTTGGGCTATGATCAAGTGAAGTATGTGTTGAGTTTTCTCAACATATTTAAGTATATTTTAGTATTATGACGCGATAATATTGAAAATATCACGATATTATCGATATTTTGACAAAAATAATTTGGATAGTTAAAAAAATTTCGGACCTTCAAAAAATCGATAATATCGGCGATATTATCGATATTTTCTTCCTTGGCCAAAACTATATCAGTCTAACGCTACTTTCTCTACCTTCAATATTTCTACATGAAGATTGATCTGGTCCTGTCATTCAACTTTCAGTGTTGACTATGATTAACCGCTTATAGTTATTTTAAGAACACTTTCAGACAATCCTAAGAATATCAATAACTTCTCGTAAGTATCAACGGTTAAATTTTTACCGTTTTACTTTCGGAATAGGATTCTCTCCTCTTTTTTTTTTCCTCCTCTTTCCTCTCCTTCTATTTGAATGATCATAATTAAGTCACGTCAATATTTTATATTAATTTTATATATAAAGAAAAATATAAAATAGAGAATGTAAGAAAAAAATAAGAGGATAAAAATAGAAAGGGAGAGAATTCTAATTATTTATTTTCAATCTTAATCGTCCAGTGATTAGATTGTGGTGTCGTGGTGTTTCACTGAACATCCTTCCTTTGGGTTTTTTTCATAAGGAATTGGATTCTCTCCTGGGCACAAGGAGCAGATCTTTTTGATCAACACACATAGGTCATTGGATTTTCATCTAACAATTTAAATTAATATAACTTTAAATAGACCTTTTTGTTTGTAATCGTTGGATAAAAATTCAATGGTTTACGTATGTTGGTCAGGAGAATCCGCTTATTGTGCTCAGGAGAGGATCCAATTCCCTTTCATAAAGCTGCTTTTCTTTTCCACTTTTTTTTTTTCAAAAAGCAGCTCCTGCTTTGGTTTTCCACTTTGTTTTTTTATTTTTTATTTTTTCAAAAAGCAGCTCTTGCTTTACTTTTCCATTTTTTTTTCTTCCGGAAAGCAGGTCCTATTTTGCTTTTTTTGTTTTTTTACTTCAAAAAGCAACTCATGCTTTTTCACTTTTATTATTATTATTATTTTTCTTCCAAAAGGCGGCTCATGTTTTTCCACCGCCTCATTATGTGTCGGTAGAGTTACATGAACACTTTCGCATCCTAGGGCCTGGACTGAAGGTGCTTTATTTTGAATAATAATTAGTTAATTATTAATTAATATTTATTAATTTCAGATTTTACTCAAATAACATGATTTGTTTATTTATTATAAAAAAATGTTAAGGAGATTCTTTAAAAAATAAGACTCTTTATGAAGTCTATGCCACGTCATATTCTGGACAATATTTTATAATGTTGGAATGAGAATTATGCACAAAACATGAGGTGACGGAGAGTCCATAAAGAATCATACTTTGATAGAATCTTCTTATTACTTCTTTTTATTATATAATCATTAGATTATTGAATTTGGTCGAACTTTAGTATAATTGATTTTTAAAGAGTAATATCGAAAATAAAAATTTAAATTGCAACGTTGCGGAATAAAAACATAAAGCGAAAAAATTTAAATGAGAATCTTATTATCATTGATTCGGAATTAATGTAGGAGGAAGTATAATAAGGTAGATCTTAATTGTTTCTACCCTCTTATTCTTGACAAGCAAACAAGAGCCTTCTCTTCAACGTGAATAAAACATCTTTAGTTTTCAAGAATCTTTTGGATAGTCTTTGTCCTTTCATGTTCCTTTCTAGGTTCTTTCATCTTTTCCTCGCTCTTTCCCTGCATCTTCTCGTTCCCACCCGAGTAGACCCCAACCCAAATCAGACACACCCCTTCTCCCCACCCGAGCCCACCCGCAACCGTTTACTACTTCCCTCAGGGCTACCTCGAGCAATCTTCCACCTCCTCCTCCTCCTGCTCCTTAAGATTGGAATTGCTAATTGGGTTTCTGAATTGTGAACAGGATAAAGCGTTCTGGGTTGGGTTCTCTGCGTTTTCTCTCGAAGCATTCGAATTATGGAGGGTTTGCAGAAGTTGATTGGGAAAATCTCAAAAGACCCCCCAAAATTGGGCTCCGCTTCAGCTTCCTTCGGCCCTCACCGTGGGACTGAAGGTCTTGCCGTCGCTCTGTCTTCCTCCGATCAGTCTTGTATTTTGCTCAACAGACCCGCCAGGTACCTCTAAAGTTTCAGATGTTTTAATGGTACTCTGTAAATTGGGTAGCGTTTGGTTTGGGATGGGAGGCTTGGATTTGTGAGTTGTCTTTGAAATCTCAAATTGTAGGATTTTTTGCTCAATGATTTCCGCAATCATGGTTTAGGGTTCCGGAGGCTTGGGTTTTGTGGGGTTTAGCTTTCAATGATTTTCCATACAGGATAATTAAAAACCATTATGTAAATATTGGATGCTTGTGTGTGATTTTTTCTGGAGTTTGACAAGATGAATGGGAGTGGGTGGCA